CGAGCTTCCTGTAGTCAGCCACTGGTCAGTTTCAGCAGCGGCTGAATCTGGACGCCAGTTCCGACTTACATACAAATTCAACTTAAGAACAAACCTACACTTCCTATCTTGTACATAACCCGGGGACTGCCTGTAGATGCTAGGGTCCATGGTCAGTTCTGCTATCCACAAGCATGCAAGTAGGAGAAGGACAAGTTTCTTGGAAATTGAATGTAAAGACTCATTTTATCATCAGTGTTCATTGGGAATGGTCACACCACCACTTTTCTCACACTGTCAGCTCTCTCATTGATACTTCCCCACTTCCACAGGCTGGCCATCCCTGCCTAGCATTTCAATCAGAATGAGCTACTTGAAAGGAAAGAAATGAGGAGTCACTGGGATAGTAATTCGTAACTACAGTCAGCCCTACAAGCAGCTGCCTTCAGGGGCAGCTATGTAACAATTAATTCCCTCAGAGGTCAGAGTTGTAATGCCAAAAACACTGAAGACAACAAAATGTTTGTGAAGATAAATGTGAGCAGCAGACATTTTCCAATGATTTTGAAGCAGCAAAAACCCAGAGAACTTTTCTAGACTAAGGAACTTTGCACCAGTCTAACTACACAGATATAATCATATACAGCCTCTTCCCAACTTACGAACCGGTTATGGACCAAGCAATTGGTTGTAACTCAATTCATTCGTAAATCGGACCCCATAAAGTTATATGTGACTGCGTAAGCGCGGAATCGCGTTCATATCTCGGGGTCCGCTATTTACGACAGCTTTGGTCGTAAGTGCGAACGGTCGTAAATCGACCGTTCACAACTCGGGGACCGGCTGTAACTGCAAGCCCTTTAGAATCAGCTCTTTTAATAAACTAGCTTTCAAGGTCCACAACCAAACCAGGAGCACCAGGCAAATAAAAGCTTAACCTAGCCTTCCTTGCAACAGAAATCTCTTTTTGGTAGAAGGCATATCTTAAAAAACATGTTTTCCTAGAAGTTTGGAGACCTGGAAACTAGCTCCTGCTCTACCAGTGGTTTGATATTGCATGTGTAACAATTCTTCTTCTCAAACTCTTTGACAAAGAGGGGGAATGAGAGCAAACAGAAATAAAGTTGCTTACCCACTCCAGCCTTGTTCCAGTGGCTAACACTTCAAACAAAAAAGTTAATTAGCTCAGCTTGGAACACAAATAACCCTCTGGGTCCAAATTTTACTGCAACAGGATCTAATTCTATCCCACCAGGCAGCAATCTAGCCACAGTCTCTAAATACCCTTATCTAGCAGCATACTCGTAACCCCAAGAATAGCCCATCCTATTCCTCACTGCTTCATCCCTAGAATAGTGATAGAAATGTAGCCGTGTTAGTCTGGGGTAGCTGAAGCAAAATGTAGGACTATGTAGCACTTTAAAGACTAACAAGATGGTTTATTAGATGATGAGCTTTCGTGGGCCAGACCCACTTCCTCAGATCAAATAGTGGAGGTTTTTAAGTCTTGGCTTAACAAAGCCCTGACTGGGTTAATTTAGTTGGGATTGGTCCTGCCTTGGGCAGGGGGCTGGACTTGATGACCTCCTGAGGTCTTTTCCAGCTCTATGGTTCTATGAGTCAGACACACACCAGCCCTTCCTTTTGTGGAGTTTAGATACACTCAGCTGTCTGTGATTAGCACCCTTCAATCCTGGCTCCAAAATAACACGGGGGGGGGGGGGGGAGAGAAGAGACATTCTGTTGGGGCACCACTAATTCAGGGTTACCTTTACATTTCTCTGATATTAACAAGTTTTGCTTTGGGTATTTTCATCAGAGACATATTCCAATCTCATTTTTATTTGTAAAGCCAGCTTGTACCTATGTGGTTCCAGCAGCCCTACGGTTTTAAGCTATTGGTCATAGGAGTCACTGCTTCCAAGCAGGGCTCCAATTTGACTCCTTTTTAAAAGAATAAGCAAATAAGTGTGTATTGTACTCCGACCTAAAAGCAGCAGTGAGTGAGCCCATTCCCACCTTGCTAGGAGCTGCAAGATAACAGGCCAGCCTTGATGTGCTATACTAAATCGGTGTCCCGTCGGCCTCATAGGGGACTTATCTTCTGTCAAGACACTTAACTAGACTGATTCCTTAATAACCATTAGGCCTTTCCACACAATAGTACTTACCCATGGCACGAGCGTCAACACACGCAGCCAGTGCAGCTGAGAGCAGACAGCAGCCGAGAAGTCGGTATTCTAGAGCCAGCTGTGCAATTACAAGTCTCCCGTCTGTGTGCTAGGAAGGGAACTCAGCTGGGACGGAGGCATCCCCGGGAGCTCGTGGGGGCAGCCATGCTGCTTGCAGAGGGATGCCGGGACGCTGAGGGGTTTTTCCTCCTCCCCACTTCACTGTACAGATCGCCAATCACACCTCGGCGGGCTGGGGCGGCGGCGTGTATTCCTCGTGCCTAGGGGAAAGCGCATCCGCACACGCGCCGCACTGAGCCACGGAAAGATCCCAGCGAGCTCACACACACAGCAGGGGGGCGGCCGCGCGCCTTGGGGCTGGAGAAATGGGCTTGGCAGCCACACGGGCCAGGGGGGGGGAGGAGGCGCCCGGGGA